GGGGGGGGGGGGAGGAATGTGTTGCTTTAATGAGCAGCAGGAAGCTGCCGCATTCAACCACCTCTGAAGACCTTCTGATTCATTTTTGAAGCATGGAGAAAACAACTCAGACAATGTTTTCAATTCAAATGTTTTTGAGCCTAAAACACTCAGTTTTAAGTTATGAAAGCCCCATTCTGAGCTCAGAACAGCTGTTTCAGCCATGGAACACTTGTTCTGATAATTTTCTGACCTCAGAAAAACCTCATTTCAAGCTTGGAGTATTGAGCAATGGTTGGAGTGGCCTTTTCTGATTTTATATGTTTAGCATAATTCCTAATTCTGAATTGCACATTTTAAAAATACAATATTGTTTACCAGATGTGGGGAACTATGCCCCTTTTATGACTCGTGGACTTCAACTCCCAGAATTCCTGAGCCAGCATGGCTCAGCTTGGAAACCTCTCCCTTTCTCCTCAGCATGGCTGGCTCAGGAATTCTGGGAGTTGAAGTCCACGCGTCATAAAAGGGCCATATTTCCCCTGGTTTAAACAATACTGTTGTCTAAAATCAATTGCTTTTCATTTTTATAAATCTGCTTACATCATCAGCCAAGACATTCTGCAATACTACGCTTATCCTACCGTACAGTATTTTGTAATTCTGGATCAATTTGGGGGGGGGGAAGAAGATAAATGCAGATGACATTCAATAGTCTCCATTTTTATTGACTGTACAGACATTCCTTGTGACATCCCACTCAGCACCTTTCATGTTTTATAATTTTGGAAAAAAAATAAAAATAGCTTTCAGTGCTTCGTGTTGTCGTGTCGTGTCTTCTCAGGCCTCAGAAGTACCGATAGTCCTCGACTTATAATTCATTTAATGACTATTCAAAATTACAACCGTGCTGGGGGGGGGGAAAGGGACTTAACAATTGGTCCTTGCACTTAGGATAGGGGTCCCCAACCCCCGGTCCCCAGCCCACTACCAGGCCGTGGCCTATTTGGAATTGGGCCACGTGAGTGGCTGGCTGGAGTGCGCACATGCGTGGGCACAGCTCGACTTGTGCAAGCAGCAGGCTGGTGTGCACCAGCCCGCTGCTTGTACAAGTCAAGCTGTGCACATGTGTGTCCTGGCCCGCCACATGTGCGGCCTAATTCCCCTCCACCCCACCCCGCTCATCCGGGTCACCAGGCCGCAAAGGGTGGAGATTACTGACTTAGGACAGCTGCAGCATTCCCACGGTCCCATGTTCAAAATTCAGGCGCTTGGCCACAGACATGTATTTATAACGGTTGCGGCAGCATCCTGAGGTCATCAGATCGCCATTTGCGACCTTCCCAGCCGGCTTCTGACAGGCAAAATCACTGGAGGAAGCCAGATTTGCTTAACGACCACACGGTTCAATGAACAACTGCAGCTACACTTAACCACGGGAGAAAAGTAAAAAAGATCAGGTATGACTCGTTGTAGCGACCGCCTTGCTTAGCCCCCCAAAAATTCTGATCCCGACTGTGGTCATAAGTTGAGGACTACCTGGACCAGAAAATTTTCTCTTAATAATTACTTGGGAATTGGTTGAGGGAGTCGAGTTCTGTTGTAAGGGTCTGTGGGAACGACCTTGGAAAGAGGAGGAAGAGCCACAGAGGAGGCATGTGTGGTGTTGAAATTAGACAGAGATTTATTGGATACAACGGTTTGCAAAGCATGGTGGACTCCAAATAAATATTTGAGCCACACCTAGTCACAACAAAGACACACATTATATACATTCTATCCCGACGCCTTGGCCCCTCCTCTGAGGTTACAATCTTATCAGAGCCGCCTAAACAAAATATATTATCCCTGCCCCTTACTATTTTGCTTCACCTATTCCCTTATATGTACTTTATCATGAAATCCTATAGCTCAGTGTGGAAATCCTATAGCCTACGTGCAGAACTCTTCCAAGGTACGTGTACATGTAGAAATTGTGTAGAAATCTTGCAGTCTACGTGTAGAAATTTTGTGTAGAAATCTTACTGTCTACGTGTAGAAATTTTACAGAGTACGTGTCACTTAACTTTACTTTTTATTTTAAAATTTTATTCCTAACATGTGGTAATAGCCTTAACCCTAACCCAGGGGTAGGCAACCTTGGGTCTTTTATGACTCGTGGACTTCAACTCCCAGAATTCCTGAGCCAACATGGCTCAGCTTGGAAACCTCTCCCTTTCCCTCAGCATGGCTGGCTCAGGAATTCTGGGAGTTGAAGTCCACGAGTCATAAAAGAGCCAAGGCTGCCTACCCCTGCCCTAACGCTTGGGGGAAGCCCAAACACAGTTCAACAGTGGCTCAAACTCCCCCCCCCAAAAAAAAGGTTAGATCACTCTGCCCCCCAAACCAACTGAAACTAACACTGGGCAAAGGGTGGGGTGGGGAACCACTACAGTCCCATTCCTCCCACTGACCTGGTCTAGAAGGAGGCCGTGGCAGATGGTATCAAAGACCACCAAGAGGCCCAGAAGGACCAGGATGGATGCATTCCACATCCCAGACCTGCCAACGGTAACTTAACAAATTTGTTCTTCATACTATGACCTGGTAGGAATCGCAATCCAGGTACAGGGGCTCTTCAACTTACAACAGTTTGTTTAGTGACTAAAGTTACGACCGCACTGAAAAATGTGACTTTTGACCATATTCCACTCTTACAACCTTGCACTCTCCCCATGGTCATGGGATCAAAATTCAGATGCTTGGCAACTGGCTCATATTTATGACGGTTGCAGTGTCCCAGGGTCACGGGATCCCCTTTTGCAACCTTGTGACGAGCAAAGTCAATGGGGAAACCAGATCCACTTAACTAACTTAACAACTGGCAAGAAAGGCTATAAAATGAGGCAAAATTCACTTGACTGTCTCTCTTAGCAACAGAAATTTGGGCTCAATTGTGGTTGTAAGTCAAGGACTACTCCATTTTCCCCAGGACCTTCAAAGCTGCAAACCCTTTTTCAACTTTCCCTAAAAAGGACAACAATTGTGCAATTCATTTGGGTTCAGTGAAGGCTTCCTGAGGAGGAAATGGACCACTCTTATTTCGGAGCTAGTAAAACCACTTTTTAAAGGATACACATAATACTTAATAGATCCAGCTTTACACTCAACTCCTTGCAGGCCAAAATGTGTGTGTTTTTGTGTGTGTTTGCACCGACAGTTCCAAGAATCTCTCCCACTTCCTCAAGACTAACAAGCTCCAAGTCCTCCCAAGATAACATCACAAGACCTGCTGTTTCTCAACCTCTATAACTTTTAAGATGCATCCACTTCCATAATTCTCCAGCCAGCCTGCTAGGTAGACATCCATTCTTAAAGTTGCTGGCTGGAGGATTCTGGGAATTGAAGTTCACACGTGTTAAAGTTGCTGAGATTTGGAAAGGCTGTTTTAGTCTACTCCAGGGGTCTTCACACTTGGCCCTTTCATGACTTGTGGACTTCAACTCCCAGAATTCCTCCGCTAGGAATCCTGGCTGAGGAATTCTGGGAGTTGAAGTCCACAAGTCATGAAAGGGCCAAGTCTGAAGACCCCTGGTCTGCTCTGCAGGACCGGCCCAGTTGGAGTCCAACTCAGACCCAAAGAAATGATTGGAAACTTCTTAAACCAGAGGCTGCGTTTCCATTTGGGGGGCAGCACAAAGCCTGATCACTGCACATTATTATTATTATTATTATTATTATTATTATTATTATTATTATTATTATTATTAGTAGTAGTAGTAGTAGTAGTAGTAGTAGTAGTAGTAGTAGTAGCAGCAGCAGCAGCAGCAGTAGTAACGGTAGTAATCCCAGAGACTCACCCTAACCTACCTCACAGGATTGTTGTGGAGATCCCCTTGCAAGTTGCTTTAAAGATATGCCAGAGATATATTTAGCAAATAAATGACAAAGCTCTCAGCAACTATTTTAATGTTAGTTCTCTCGTTTTTAATTCTGGTTGCTTTTATGAGTTTTTACTCTAATTGTAAGCTGCCCAGAGTCATGTACATGAGAAAGGAAGGAAAGAAGAAAGGAAGGAAAATGTCCTAAAAAGGCACACTCTATTCTTCTATTCCTCTGCCTTTGCATTCTTGTTCAGCGTCCAATATTGCATCTTCCTCCTTAAGAGTCGTGGCAGAAGAAACGACAGAAGCTTGGTCTCTGTGGCGCAATCGGTTAGCGCGTTCGGCTGTTAACCGAAAGGTTGGTGGTTCGAGCCCACCCAGGGACGCAAGCGGCTCTTTTTCATTTTTCCTCTGTTCATTTTTAAAATGCGGCGCAGACTTGCAGACTTTTCCTTTCCAGGGACCGCAACCACTTTTCCGGGCAAGAATGAAAGAGAAAAAAAATGAACGGGTTTAAGCAGGGATGCTGGGAGGGCAACAAGGTTTCTGCCCGTAGCCAAGA